GTCTGTTATTTCTCTGTACTTGCCCCATAGATATTCCTATTTTATCCCACTTCCCCATTTAAGATTAATTTTTATACATAAGTAAAATGCCACATTGTTTTACTGCTTTCAGTCTCTTTGTATTGTTCAATTGTAATTTAGAATAATTCTTCAAGGATGCTGAGTGAGTAAAATATTTTGATCAGTTTTATGCCAAACAGTCAGAATGGAGATAGGGCTGATTACAAATATAGCTAGATTAAGGTTTCATCTCCTTAGTAGCACTTGCAAATTATCTGAATAATACATGCTGACTCTCAGGTTATAGGTCTAATAATACGCATCCTTTCACAATCTGTCTGGAGTGATTTCTGAGGATCTGAGTGTTCTGTGGATAAATCACAAAGCAAATAATCATTTCGTATTATAAGTTTCACCATAGGATATATTGGGTTTATTTTCTCTTGCTTCAATATATGGAGTAGTTGATATCATACTTACTTAGGGAAAAAAATAGAAGACAAAAATATTTGGAGATCAGTAAAAGATTTAGAATTCCTTTATTATAAAATTAACAAAAATTGTTAATAGTCCAAGCAAATAAAAACTAATTCTGAGAAAAGCAATCAGCAAGTCTTGATTCTATTGTTTAAATTCTAAAGTCTTACATCCATACTTAAGTTTTAACATTTAAATCTAATCTAATCCATCTTAAAAATGCATTTTATCCATGCCACCTATGAAGAAAGAACTAAGATGGGTGTCTCATTCTCAACATGAGGCATCTGTCAATAGATATGTGTCCATTTTGTATTTTGCTTGGTTTTTATACTATAAGCTCTATACTATAACTACAAAATCTCTTTGCAATGTCTATACACATGGCGTACTTCACAGGGTTACCCAAAACTTTTTCTAATAGAAATAACGAGTTCTACAAAGCATGTTCTACAAAAGACCTAGCTCAACTATTAATATGATAGTGAAATGGGTGGCTTGTTTATTTAACAAATAATTAAAATAATTACCCCCACCCTTATCTTTAGAAAAGGCCCTGGGTGGAAATAAAGATTCTACCCTTAAGTGTTAGGTACCAGAAAATTCCACAAGTACTGATAGCAATGCACAAATACATCTTTGTTCTACCTAATCATCTTCTGATATAGGTGACCCCATGGGTTTAACCCCACTAGTAATGACTGACTTTAGGGGTGCTGCCCATTTCTGTTTCTTAAGTCGAAAGACATTTTCACAGTCGTATGGCTGTCATGACATTATTCCAAGCACAGAGCGTATGGCAAAACATGGAACACTGTTAACTTCCCACATGCTAATATGTACCTATTCATTTCCTGTTAGTCATAGCGATATTAAAACAGATATATAGACTTTTGAGGATATAGCACTTAACTCTCCTCCAAATGTTCTTTGAAAGATGATTTAGAGTTGCTTGCAACTGTACATAGGCATCACCAAATACTTACACAGCAAAGGAGTCATGAGTAAGCGTAGGTTGCAGACAGGCCAATGCACTTCCCTCCCAAATGCCAACTGCGTGTGTGTGTCCCCGGCATGCTGATTGATTGATCTGACTTCCTGTTCTGTGCTCTGTTGTTTGAGTGCCCCCTCGCCAGAATGTTACATTTGCAGAAATATAAATGGAACGCTCATGCAACTGTCACTGAACTACAGAGACACACATTCCCTCCAGCATTACAGTGCTGGAGAAGTCTGTTCAATCCTTGAGGTGCCACTCTTATGCCGCTCTACTCTTAGTCTTTTGCTTTGAACAAAGCTTCTGATCTCTAAAGTTAACTTGCTAGAACTTTGAGACTGTATTACTTCCTATCTGTTTAAGTTGTCTAGATTAATTTTGTAATTAAAAATATAAGAAAATCTATAAAGGATAATATTTATAGCTCAGGATTGAAATGAAGGGTCCTTGGTGCTCTCTGAGCTTGCTTGTTTTCTTGCAGATGTTTCATTACTCAAACAGTACTAGGCTTGAGTATTACTCGTACTAGTCTAGGACTAATGATGTTAGCTAATTAGGGTAATGAAACATCTGAAAGAAAACAAGCAAGCCCACAGAGTACCAAGGACCTCTCATAAGAAAACCTGTGATGGACTTCTATAGGTGCAAAGTTGGATGATAAGGTAAAATGGATATTTCCACATACATAGGTAGAAATATAGACTCTGCTTATATTACTGCTCAAAATGGAAAGATTTACACAATAAAACACTTTCTTTTTATGAAAACGAATTAAAAGGAACAGATTTTTGCTAAAAACTATGTATGAAGATGTCTAATGCTGGTAGCATTTGCAAAAAGTTATATGCAACTACAAACCCAAATTTTTCAGCTGGCAATAAAATAAATAGAATAAATAAATAAAATAAAAGGACCAGGGAAGACATGATGGGAGTGTACCAATATTTGAGGGGCTGCCACAGAGAGGAGGGCGGGGGTCTCAAGCTATTTTCCAAGACACCTGAAGGCCAGACAAGGAATAATGGATGGAAATTGATCAACGAGAATTCAACCTAGAAATAAGGAGAAATTTCAACTCTGTTAATCTAATCTAATCTAAATTGGAATAAAATGGAGTATATAAAACTCTGAGAGTTCCCTAAAACAGATGTAAATGTTTCCTATAAAATATGCCTTTTACATGAAAAAATGAAGTATTTTTTTTATTTTAATTATTCCTACATCATGCATTCAGTATATATGCCTCTATTTGATTCTGTCACCATAATTCAGTGTAGCGTTCTGGTTTACAATTAATTTTCCTAATGAACATAGAAAACCCCACACAAAATGTACATAACAGGTCATCTGGGCCAGTGATAGCAACCAGTGGGCTAGGGACCACTGGTGGTCTGCAAGAAAATTTTGGTGGTCCGCAGAGAAATGTTACCCCCAATGCACCCCCTAAAGCAATTAATCCAGGCTGCATGGGAACACAAGGCTGTGCCGCCCACATGGCCTGTGGGAACACAAGGCTTGCATCACTTTCATTACGAACAACACAATCTGGGCAAATAATTGTTGAACTGGTTTGCAAGAGGAATGATACGTGTATACTCAGAGAAACAGTACATGAATAATAAGTAATTTCTTAAGATTATATATTTGCTAGCACATAACAATAAGACAGGAAGAATTTATATAAATATTCTTTTTTCTGTTAAAATGTATTTGTGCTTAAATGAGATATGATCATAGAAATTTCTTCGGACAGTGCTGGCTCAACGGCCTTGAAACAAAGACGAGAACCACCCTCTACAGCCGGCAATGTCTAGCAGAGTAAATTGTTATTGGAATTATCCCTGGATTGAAAACTGACTGATCTTACCTGTGAATGACTTTGGATTGCTTGTTTGGACTTTGCTTAAACTTTCTGGAAGTAAAAACCTACATTTACTGTACCGTGTATCTGTGTACTTTGTGTGTATTATCCAAACACTACTCTCTATACGTCTCCCTGTATGCGCTCATTCTCCTAACAGGGAATTACCTCAACAGAAAGTCACAGAATAAACCTTTACTTGATGGAGGAATAATTGAAGACAGAATGTAATGTTATACCATTCATGGAATTACTACTTTTCAAGTACAGGTTATGTTCTAGTGCTGAAGGCCAGGCTCTGAACAGCTACAGATGGCACCCAGCAGACTGAGCCTAATGAAATACTTAATGTTTTCTTCCTGTAAGGCTAGTCCAAGACATTTTGTTGTCTGAGCTGAAGAATAAGAGAATATCCTCTTCCATTCCACATATGAAATTGAATAAGAAATCTTCTTTAATAATGATTGTGGGATATTCTTTCTATTGTAAAAAGTAACATGCTGATTTATTAAGTGAAGAAAGAGTGTATAGTTCCTAGGTATTTCTTCAAAATCTCATTTCTCATCATCTATCACCTAAGTGTGTGTGTGTGTGTGTGTGTGTGTGTGTGTGTGTGTGTGTGTGTGTGTGTTATCCCTTTGTATGGCAGGACTTCTGGCCATATCACACATTGCTTTTGATTAAAAAACATAAACAACATTTGCAAGGTGGCATCAGATTGGAGATTTGGTTTTGTCAGCATATTCTGAGACTCAAGTCCCAGAATAAAAAGCAAAAGCAATGAGTTATAGGAGACACACTGTTTCTTTCTTTTCTTTTTACATGAATCAGCACAATCAACATTACCACTAGTAGCAACTGTCAAAAATTGCCTACCTTCTAAGGGAGAACAACTGGGGAGAGCTGCTACCCTGTCATTACTGACCTGTAACAACACTTTCTCAAGTTGGACAAGAAAATATGCTTACATTAATGAAAAGCAATTTCTGTTAAATATAGTAGGTTGTTCTAGCTAATTTGGACTGACAGTGTCTACATATTAGTGCAATGTCATAATAATACAAACTTTAATATATTCAGTATCAAGGGACAGATCAAAGTTTTCAACAGATGGCTGCACACATCTCTCAGAGCTCAAGTGAATAACTTGACAGCACAAGTTCATGATGATTCTGACATGCCTACTGGTAGATCTTCTTTTGTTCAGAAAAAATACTTTCAGGAAAAATTTGCAAGCTGTTTTAATAGTACCCCATATGGTTAGTGGAGGACATTTTGAAATCTTACTGCACTGTGCCATCATAAACAGGCTGAATACAAAATATAGCTATATTTTGGTGTTTCTCCACTAAAACAGGTCATTTCAAATGATATGGAGGGCAAAATCTTTGGTACTACCTTAACAATACTGATGTAGGCATTCTTCAAAATTGTGTGAAAGGTTATGTGACCAACCTTCACAAGTATAATAAATGGTCCTCAATGAAGATGTTTGTTTGTTTTTCATGTTTCTAGAATGCTCATCTAGTATGGAGTGAGATGTTTTCCCTCCAGTGTGCAGGTGTGTGGAAAGGATGAAGAGGAGGGCAAGAAGGGCCAGTAGAGAAGGCAAACGAGGAAAGCTTTTACAAAAGCCTTTTCAGTTCTCCAAACATAAATACTTACCTGATTAAAATGTTTCAACTTGTCAATTAAATGACCTATCTCTGGATCCAACCCTCTGACTATCAGCTCTGGATTATTTATTTGGGCTTTCAATCCATTTGTAACCACTCTGCTTGTATAACTGTAACAGAAAAAGAAAGGAAAGACTGATATTAATGAAATATCTTTAACTATGGGAAAACAGAATTCTCAGACATGTCTTTTGATGGATTTTTGTTTCAGTGAAATAGGAGCTTTTTTAACAATCTAAGGGGGAAAGATTAAGTGCCCTTCTGCCATTGAATAAATTATGTCTAATCCTTGCATCTAAATTTCAGCGGTACCTGAATCTGTAGGTTGGTAATATCTTTCATATATCTATATTCATAAAACAGTTGTTTTGTTATTAAAATTTAAAGTATTTTAAATAAATCAAAAGAAATAATGTTATCCAGTTGGTTGAACCCAATCTGTTGAAACTAAAACAGTTAATACCTGGTTTGATTTGGGATTGTTTTTAAATAGCCCTTAGTTATTAATAAGTTTTATCTTCCAGAGAAAATCATAGAAAAGAATAAACATTCTAAATTGCTGCATTGTTCTTTTATAAAATAACTTGTCAGATCTTCAATATTATGTTATGGTAAACTTGCACTCATCTATGATTTATTTATTGATATGTATATTAATGATTTAATAACACAAAGGAAATCAACTAACTGTTTAGATATTAAGATCACAGAGAAAAATGAAGAAGGCACAATGTTTGCACACATTATTTCTACCTTCATTGTCCCAGTAAGCCTTGTCTAGCCCTGTCTAATTTCAATTTTCTTTCAGTGGTTGGACACATCTGTTATGGACTTTACTTGAAGGCATCTTCCAAGTCTCATTGGATGGCACCATTTAAGGGAAAGGATCTGGATTGTACCCATCCTATCTAATCTGATAGAGCAGGCAAGGAACGAACCTGCCTCGGCCTAAATCAGTCCATTTTTCTATCTATAGCATAGTCAGCAATAGTCAGCAATTACTGGCAATCGCTCTCTAGAGTTTTGCACAATATATTTTCTCAACCTTACCTGGAAACTTTGCTTATAATCCATCTGCTTTATTGCTAAGATGTACCATCTCCTGACTCTAAAGTTAAACTAGAAAAAGTGATATATTGTAGATATTTCAAAAATTTAACATATGGAAGTAAAATATTTCAAAGCATTATGAACAAAGCTCTTAGGAAGGGAAGCTTGCCTAAGTTTGGATTGAAAAAGCTTGCCTGTAAGAGAATCATTCAGTACAGTTTGCAGTTTAATTTAACATGAAGCAGGAACTGATCAGACATTGATGAAAAAATGGTATGAGATATTATGTTTACTGCAACAGTGAAAATGAAGAGCACAAATAATTTCAAACAATAAAGAAAACTTATGTTTTAAAAGTTGAAACTTCACTGAAAAAGCAGTTTTAGTTCTAGTCAAGTTTACTCACATTGGTCTCAGGACTACATTACCTGAAAATATTTCTACAGCAATATTAATTTTAACATTATTGAAACTATCAGATAACTTCAATCCTAGCAAATATGTCCTAGTTTCATGCTATAAATTGATTTTTCTGTCTATAATTTACCTTCATTTGATAAGATTGGTCAAAGTGTTCTTCTAATCCTTGCCATTTCACATACGAATAGTAATAGCACTTAGACATATATACTGCTTTATAGTGCTTTACAACCCTCTCCAAGCAGTTTTACAGAGTCAGCATATTTTGCACAACAATCTAGTTCGTCATGCAAGTATTGTTATCTTTTTCTAATGTTGATCCAAAACAAGACTTATGTGCCTTTAGTTTTGTGTAACACACAATAAAAGTTAAGAAGAAAAAAATTGAAAATAATGAAAATAATGAATTGGCTAGGGTGAAATTGTGAACTTTGGTACAGAATCTGCAGGTCTCTTGTATTTCCTACCTAGAAATGGAAACAAGGTAGACACCTCCAACGTATGCATATCATAGATTGAAGCACAAAGGACCATATAGGCTTACACTTGAGCATGTGTAAGTGTTGCAGAGTGGAAATAAATTTGTCTAACCCTGAACTATATACTCAATATATACTGTACATAAATTCTGCTTGAAAAAAATTCATATTCAGCTATTTTCTAAAATTGATATGAGGCTGAAATATCCTTTTTCAACTGGTCCATTTTTGTTTTCACCACATAATAGCTTAGAATAATGATCAGAGCATTATAACAAGACCCAATCAGAGATCTTTTTTTTAAACAAATAAAAAACAATGTCCTTAATAGTTAGTGAATCATTTAAGAGGATTCACTAATTTTCCAAATCAATGAACCCATGAGAGATTTTTAATATTTGGTAATACAAATCCTAATTAATTATGCATCTTTGACTAGATCTGCATCCATGTTTGCATATTATTTAGGCAATACCATATTGAATGTCTCCATATAATTATTTTTGCCTGGCTGAACTAATTTCAAGGAGACCAGAATATTTTATATACTTTGTTTTACCAAGGTCATTTCTAACATTTTCCTCTGTCTGGTATAAAACAGAGTTTAGGCAGATTTCCCATGGAGCCATGCCACTCCCCAAGAATTCCAAGAGATTTAATCAAATTGTAATTTTAAATGCAACAGAAAGAGAAAATTGTAAAAGTCATGACATCTAGCAATTATGTTAATTACAATTTTAACTAAATTTAAATTAAGGGTAAATGCAGGCAGATCAGATTTAGTTTCTTTCTAAGTCCCACTTCCAGCTTTTTGGAGTTACTGTCGCACTTGAAGACCAAGTACGGCTTGGAAAAAGTTATATAAAAGAATGTGCAAATGAATTTGTCTGCTGTAGAAAAAACTAAAACAAAACTAAATATTAGGGCCCTTAAAAGAAAGCAATATTAGAGAATCATCAGGAAAATATATCTACAGACATTTATAATTTGGAGGTACTGTATGGTCATTGCTAAATAGAGAGGCTGTTCGCTAAACATAATTTTTTAGAAGTCATTATTATACTGGTACTATATCTCTTGAGCCTTGACTTTGTTTAGTAATCTAGTTATTCATAAAAACTAGATATCAAATTATAACAGTTTACTCACATATAATCACTGGCAGGAATAGCTAACATCCAAGAAGACAGGCTCAAGATCCAGATGGATCTTGAAGAATAGAATTGGGCCGTATCTAACAAAATGAAATTCAATGTAGAGAAAAGTCCTACACTTAGGCAAGAAAAACCAAAAGTACACATATAGACTGGGTGAAACCAGGCTCAATAGTACTAACTGTGAGAAGGATCTTGGAGTCTTAGTGGACAACCAGCTAAATATGAGCCAGCAGTGTGCAGAAGCAGCCAAAAGAGCTAATGCAATCCGAAGTTGCATTAACAGAGGGATACAATCGAGATCAAGTGAGGTACTAATACCACTCTATAAAGCCTTAGACCAGACCTAGAGTACTGCATCCAGTTTTGGTCACCACATTATAAAACAGACGTTGAGACACTAGAAAAAGTACAGAGAAGAGCAACCAGGATGATTAGGGGACTGGAGACTAAAACATATGAAGAACGGTTACAGGTACTGGGCATGGCTAGTCTAGTGAAGAGAAGGACCAGGGGAGACATGATAGCAGTGTTCCAATCTTTGAGGGGCTGCCACAGAGTGGAGGGGGTCAAGCTATTTTCTAAAGCACCTGTAGGCCAGAATAATGGATTGAAACTGAACAAGGAGAGATTTAACCTGGAAATAAGAATAAACTTTCTGACAGTGAGAACAATCAACCAATGGAAGAGCTTTCCCTCAGAAGTTGTAGGAACATCATCACTTGAGACTTTCAAGAAGAGATTGGACTGCCATTTGTCAGGAATGGTGTAGGGTGTCCTGCTTGGGTGGGGGGGATTGGACTAGATGACCTACAAGATCCCTTCCAACTCTATCTGTTATTTTATCTGATCCATGTATTATAAAAATTTATTGCTAATAAATTGTCAACGATCTTTAATGCTATATAATTATTAAAAATATTACTTGTTGTAGATTTAGTA